TGATTCAAACGCATAGAATATCGCTCTGATAGTTGAGGTGGTTGTTCGTCATAGTAGATAAGTCTTGCTAAGCGGACTTCTAAAAATGCATCATGGATTTGCTTAGGTTAGCTACCGCTGTGCTCTCCTTAGGATTGACGAGTAGTACTAGCTTCAACAAATGCATCAGTTTCAAACTTATCCGGTAAAGCATACGGCACGTACGGCATCAAACGGTTGGTCTGACTTTAGGCGCTCCTGATGTTTCGCCGGTGATTCCTCACCACGCTCTCAACGGAGAGCGCGGGAAACGTAACACGAACGACTTACGTCCGTACTAGCTGTCGACGAAGAACCCCTCGAAGGATACCACATGCAACGGTGATGCCACATCATTGTTTGTATATAGGTGACGTAGTCTAGTTCCATCTTGACACGAAGCAGCTGAATTATAGCGACTTAAACCCGCGTCTTGTTGTGAATGGACAAAAGGCCTTGTAGTGGACGGTCAAAACCCGCGTCAAGTAAGTATAGCGCATTCCGTACCGGCTACCCAACGTGGTTAGCTTATGCCACTCTGCTGTGGCGTGTTTGGTCGATTGTCTAGTCTATCCTTCTCACTTATATTCCCGTGTATGGATTTCCGTTCCACAGCGATACACATACCGATATACCGAACCAGGTAACTAAAAGCACAGACCACAAAGGTCACAAAAGCTTCGCGCTTGAGCATTGCCCGCCCCTGCTCCGCCGCCGCACAATCCGCTTGTGAATATGACGTGTGATGGTTATTAATAGCAACTCCCACGGACAGAAAACATTTCGATGTCCAGTATTTTTGCAAGATTTCTTTTAGAGCTTAATCTTCACGGCATGTAGTTTTAAGATCCAGTGTGTTAAAGTATTGTGATTGACCCAGCTCCTTTTGCGAAGCACTAGCGCTTGGCATTGGCTGATAATATCTCGTGCTGAGCTAGGGGACTGGGACAACACTCTTGAATTAAATAATCCACACTGTTTCCGCTCTTTGAAAGGAAAATCGACGATGTCAAACTCTCTACGTATGCATGTACAGCTAAACTTTAATCGTACGCCACATCGTGTTCACCGTACCGAACGTATGCTTGCATCCTTAACTTAAAAAGCGCAACAATTGTGATAAGCTCACAAGACGCTATGACAAAAGGATCGCTATTCGTAATGTTTTCATGCATGTAAATAATCATCTCCTGCTGCCGTTGCAAAGCTGCAGCATCTGCTCTATACACTACCAAAGACCTGCTGCCGATCGCTCCTATTTGTTATTGTCAGCCTGCTCACTCATGCTCGCACGACTCTCTCACTGCTGCGCGGGTCTCGTATGCTCTCCGTTTGGTGTGTGTTTTAAACGTTTAGAGAAAGCGAACCATAAGTAGCAGGGATCTTCACATAAATCGAAACCGGTCGCTTGACCAGGTCATATTGACGGCGTCAACCAACATGAAACTTTTGAACTCATTTTACGTTACCCAGAATATACGATATTTTTGCAACCTATCGATTATTTGCAACTAGTGGTTTATAAAAAGTCTGCAGCACTAACAATATTAATCTCTGGCCTTACTCAAATGGTACAAGCTGTAGTTTTTTTGCAAAAGAAGGTGAATGGACATCCCAGCTGTTACTGAAACTAAGATGTTTTCATCAACCCTACCGCAATCTGGTACTCTGCAATTCTGCGAACTAGATCTTAATTCGGCCAATCGTAAGGGAATAAACATCAACAAAGAAACGAACTATTGCCTCCCACGTATCTCTAAGTATTGTGTCTCCATTCCTTTCACACGACAAGCTCGCGCTAATGAGAAAGGACCGACAGGTGTTGCGTGCGAGCGATATTAATCGCTTCTTTCTTCTCATGTGGCGGGTGCTAAGGCACGCTAGTAGGCGATACCGACAGATGCTGCGTGCGAGCGATAGAGATCGCCTCTTTCTTCTCGTGAGGCGGGTGTCAGGGTACAATACATAGCTCGGAGATTTTCGATGATCAGCGAGGCTCGAACCTTTGCGGATATCAGCGAGGCTTGCACTCTTCACGACTGAAAGGTACACTAAGATGGACTTGACAAGATCGGTTGGCTCCATACCAACGCCGATTTGTCATTCCATTGCATCGGAAGGCTGGTTGCGCGTCTGCACAATTATTTACTGACTGTTTAATCGATGAACCTTTTCATTGCAGCCTCGAGGAGCAGCCACCTGTTCGAAATGGAGAACGAGGCGCTGCCGATGCCTTAAAGTTTTGACCGTGTGCAATTCATGTAAATGCCGCTTAGCGTATCCTTACGATAACGTTCAAAGCACTGATAGCGCTAACTAGATTGCAGTGGCGCGCCCAGATTAAGACCGCTTTGGCCGTCGTATTTCCTGTTGTCAGTGCGATGTTATGGTGGAATACGACGACGACGACAAGGATGATGAATAGGTGCAGCGATCATGGAAAGCTGGCTGCTTTGGCTCGCTTTCCTTGATACGGAGCCAGATTCTACGAATCGCAGACGATGGTATGCTACTAGCAAAATTTGCTCAGGATTCCGAAATGTATGCTATAAGAGCTCGGTTAGTCGCCGCTGAGGAAAGGCGACGCGTAATGCATGTGGAGATATTGCTTAGTATTCTATAATAAATGTTTAGAAAAAAAGCATTGCTAACGCGAAGAACTCCTACGTAACTGTGCTGTTCGATGGTTGTGATGTGCAATTGGTGCTTGCAGGCCTTCGCTCTTTCCACTCCCTTAAAGCTGTGGATTGGGCTTTATAAATCGGAGAACTTCTCTTCAAGTTACCGTCAACTGTGTAAAGACCCTTGGAAAAGTAGAAAAATGAACTTTTTGCCAGCAAGACCACCGCTTTTCCTGACACAGGTGAGACTTCGCAGGGTCCACTGGATATTCGCGCTTGCAGAGAGCGACATGGTGCGTCTCGCAGTAGTCGTTTTTTTTTTGTCGCCTTCCGACACTCAAACTTGCAAATGGAGCATTCTCGCATTGAGCCTGCTCCTTCCATATAGCAAAATGCACGACTCCCGAGAGACACACGTCTGTGGGTGGACTGCGTCTACTGATAGCTTACTCGCATCGGTTCGAGTGACATTTGCTTGAGCTGTTGCCGAACTGGGCGTACTCGCTGCATACACAATTCCAGCTTCTCTATCAATCCATTTCTTCCAAGAACCATTGACTAACTCACGCACAAGAGATACGAAGAACGCTCGGTGCCGGTCACGACAGGCCGGTGTGGGGTTGGCGGCACAGGTCTGTGAGGCGTCATCGCTCGTTGGGCTCTTACCGCGCGCTAATTCGTCGCATATACACGCGTTGCACTTGGCAATATCAATAATTGCCATAGCTAGTTTTTTATGCCACTTCTTGACAGGGTGGCCTCCGGCGAGAGAGAACCTTCCACGTAGTTGGTCGTGGCGGTCGACGCGTTGCATTGCTGAGTTATATTCACTAACACAGGTCGGAGCTTTAAATGCTTCTGTAATGGATCGAGCAGTCGAGTGGACCACATGGCTGCAAAGTCAGGTGATGAGTAGCAGTACACGTGGAATGCGAACGACGGGTTTTGCATGGATGATGAGAGGGAGGTGGACGATGTGTGAGCGTGCCGGCTGGCGACCAAGGTCGTGAAGCCAGCCGGGAACGATGGGTTCCTCGCACACCGTGAGTGCAGTAGTCAAAGAGGTGATTGGTAGCACGAGTGGGATACGACGCCAGTAGGAAGGACGAAAGAGGCCGACATGAGTGTGCTGACTAGTGGTCAGGCTCATGGGAGCCGAAACGAAGGACGGAAGAGGCCGACGTGAGTGTGCTGGCTAGGTGGCCAGGCTCATGGGAGCCGAAACGAAGGACGAAAGAGGCCAACGTGAGTGTGCTGGCTAGGTGGCCAGGCTCATGAAAGCCGAAATGGATGATGAGGAATAGTGGGGTGGGCTATGTTGAAGTACCGCGCAGCAGCCGCACTGCAATGAACAAAGGAGGAGAGCAGTGTGGGACGAAGCTCACTTTTGGATCTGCGGCATTAGCACAGGACCTGACACGTGTGTGGCGGAAGACGCACTTTGGAGACGAAAGAGGGAACGAGGACCGGCAGACGAAGGCCGTCCGAGTCACCGAAACGGAAGAGCGAGCGAGCAGGGAGGGGCGGAGGCCGACCAGCTAGCGAGCAAACTACAGCCAGCGGAGCACGTGCCGACCGTGCGGGCAGCGCCGACGATAGGAGGGCGTAACAAGGGGCTGAAAGGCACCTGAGGCCTGTGTGAGGAGTCGGGTGGCGCTCGGTGCGGGGAACGCACGGGCGACGAAGTAGCGCAGCGGCGTAAAAGGCTAGTGCTTGGAATAGTACACGAGGGTGAGTAGGAGCGAGTAGTGCAGCAATGGTTGTGTTGCGTAAATATAAAATAGGAACGGACACTTCTCAGTGGACGTTCCGGCGCAGGACCGAGTGGGTTCTGTCGGCCAGTGGAGTGAGGAAGTTCCGTACGGGCGGCGACTAACCAGGGCGAACCCCCAGCGCAGTACTTGTGGAAGCAGTGCGACCTGCCCCACGGCCGGACAAGATAATTGGCCCGTTACATGGTGGTCATACAGGGGCGTAAAGCAAGCAATCGACAAGCATTACGAGACGAGATGGCGGCCACGAAGACAGCAACGACTAAGGGGTCCAGGGTAAAGACCAGGATCTCACCACGCTACGCGAAGAGCCAGATACTGGTTCATGAGGAGGAGAAGTCGCGAGAAACCTTTAGTGAGAACGTGGAGGGCGAGGGCGACCGTGCGGAGCAGCAGGAAGAGGTTACACGAGAAGAATCGGCGGCGGGACGCACGGTAACGCTAGTAGAGTCGACGAAGGAGAACAGCAGGACCCGACAGACTCGTGACGACGCTGAACTTGTCGCAGATGGTGACGAAGATACTCCGACGGGTGGCGGAGCGGCGAGCCAATCGGCGGTAGTTACGATGGCCGAGACCATTAGCGAGCTGCGAGAGATGGTGGCTAGGTTGCAGCCGGCTCCGGTGGACGCCGGACACGAGGAGCGGCGGTCGGAACGTCAGAGGAGCCGGGATGCTCCAAGGCACCGGCGCAGCTCTGGTCGCTCGAGACGTTCCGGACAACGTTCAAGTAGAGGCGACGACTCAGGAGACGCTAGCGATCAGCGAAGGCGAGTGTCGGCGCGTCGGTCGGTGCGCGGAAGGTCATCCAG